ATTCAAGTGAATGGAGCTACGTACAATAATTTTTATTATAATACAACTGAAGAAGTGAGTATTAAATATAACATTTTTGTTTTCTCTAACTATTTATTATTATTATCATCAGCTTTTATTAAAGCTTATTAAAAATTAGTTTTGATAAAGATTTGTAAATTGTTTATAACTACATAACAGATATATATATATTTATTTATTTTTAGGTCCTTTACTTATCATCATTAAACTTGGACTTAAATATAGTTTTCAACATAACATGGACTTAAATATTTATGCAAATATATTTCTTAAAATTGTTTAGAATTTTTTTTTTTTAATTAAATGTATTTTTGGTTCTAAATCAAATTAGAATATGATTATGAAATATCTTATATATTTTTTATTAATAAATTTATACCAATAAATTTTGATTTAATATTCATGTTTGTATTTTTAATTTGAATGAGATATAAATGATTCCTTTGTACATTGTCTTCATCTAATTATGTACCATCTATATGTTTCTATTAATTCATAGTAATATTATTGTTGATTGTTGTGCTTATTACAATATCAATGAAAATAGAGAATAAGAAAATAAAATGTTAATAAGTGGTGTAACTGAATTGTAATATTTTGTGATTAAGCTGCTTATTTTCTTTTATAAATATAAAAAAATCATTAATATTTATTTTATTTTGTTTTTATAACATTAATTACTTATCAGTGTAATTCCTTTGTTTGATATGTATTTAAAATATGAAAATATTAAGATCTTCAGATTATTTATACAGATTTTCTTTCTTATTAAATATGTATTACTATCACTTACACCAAATTAACTAAAGGTTGATTGTATACCCAAAGTCTGATGAAGTAATCTGCATACATATTAATTGTTCCTGAACATTGAATACCAGTCAACCAATATTTTACTCAGTGGCTTTGGTGTTACTATTCAGAGTGCTACAATTAATTTAAAAGAAAAATACTGGAATAGTAGCATTTTATAATTTATCAATGGAATTTCAATAACATATAAAATATTCAAATTTTACATTTATTTGTTATTTTTGAAACACAAAGATTACACAAATTATGGTAACTATAAATATTTCTTAAATTAATATATATAATGTAGAAAATCTGTAAATTAATATTTTTACCAATGGCAGGTTATAATTAATATTTACATAATGGAATTGTTAACTTTTTAGATCTAAGTAAAATTGATCAGACCAATTTATTACTATAATAATTAAGATTCAGATTTGAAAGCAATATAATCAATAAATTAATAAACACTTAAAATCTGTTGAAAAACTAAAATAATACTTAATCTATAGTTAGTATAGGTTCTTTGGTAAACACTAATTTAACTTTATCAAATACTCTATAGATATGTCTAACAGTGATAATAAAGCATATTATCCATAAAAATAATTTTAAACCAACATCAACAATGCATCATTTTCGCAAGCTTTTATTAATTTTTATTGTAAATATGTATAATATTATTATGATTAATTAATAATTAAATAAAAAAGCAAAAATAATATTTACCCATTACCTTAGAAATTAAATGAATCACATTTTTTTATTTAAGACTTTTTTTTAATTTAGACTTTATACTATACCCTTACAGGTATGAGGGGGTTATATTTTACCCACATAAATGCCCACTTTAACTGAAACATTAAGGTACATAATACCCATTAAATAATTTTCTAATCACTATTTGTTTTTATTATTATATTTTGGTGTTCTATAATTTTTGAATATTCTAAGTGACTCAATTTAGTCATTAAAATTACTTAGAACTCTTACTTCTTAGTAACAACTTAACACAACCAGGCAACTAGATTTTTATATTGTGATGAAAAAGAGTTTTTAGATATGATGGAAGACAAATTTCTACAGACTGATACAAGTTTATGCTTTAATTTTAACTATTAACCATATAATAATAATGTATTACTCATAATCTGTTATTTTGTAGATGTCTCATGTCTGGAAAATAAATCATACAATAAAGCAATATTTAAGCTTTAGAACACTACATTTTCCAGTTTAACAGAGATGAATGGTTATATTGACGACAGCATCATGTTACATAACAATCCTATTCTTGGAATTAAGCAAGGACCAACTAATTAATTAGTAGATGGAATTCTATTCAATAGATATTACTTCAATAAAACTAAACAAGTAATTTGAAGTATAATTGCATATTATTGTATACATACATATAAACATATTTATACATCAATTATAATATTAACTGTACAATACCTATAGGTTATAACTTATAACTAATTAATAATATGTAATATTTATTATAGATTTTATACTTCAAAATTTTAAACTTAGGTTATTCAATTTAACATAGTAAATTATATGAGCATTAATAATGGACAAATGTCTATCTATATAATACTTTATTATTTAAATTAATATTGAATAATAACCACAAATATGGTCAATTATACAAGATTAAATGGTTCAGTTCATACTTTTTGGTACTTATAAGTCATAATATAATAGATAATTATCCATGTTTAAATAGAAAATTGCATTAATTAAAAACAATTTTAATGCACATATATAAAATAATATTAGATTATTACTTGGTGTATAAAATAGTTAATGTTTGTTTCAACATTTATTACAAACTAGGAACCAGTTAAATAAATTAGAAACTATAGACCAGTAACATTGATGTATTTACCCTTCTGATGCCTCAAATTTATTATACAAAAGAGGTGGTTTAACATTTATTTTATTTTTGTAAATACATGATTATTCTACTCATAAAATATAAATTCAATTGATTAAATTATAATTTTATTTCCCAATAACTATCATTAACTATGTGTTGTTTCATGTAATACATTAATTATATTAATTGAAATAATGATGATATTAATATTAGACATAGATACTTTAAATTTTTTAACTTAAATTTGGAAATATTTTTAATTAAAAAATAACTTTTCTGTAAACAGCAATAACAACTGTTTTTAAATTAAAAAAAAAAATTTATTTTAGCTGAAAAAATAAAACACCCAGTCATGATTTTTTAAATGTGAAAGAAACTAAGTAATTACTAAGTAAATATTCACTAGAAATTAACAATCTATTAGTTTTATTTTATTATATTTATGTTATATTTTACTATCACAATATATAGTGAATACCAAAATCCAAGTATGAGAATCATAAATATGTGAATAGCTATAATTTAAAAAATGTCTGTCTATAAAAATTTCTTCATCACTAATGTATTGAAATTAGTTTGTTATATGTATATATTATTTACATCCATAACATACAATGTATTCAAATTGAAGAATATTAAAATATAATTATTCATTATTAGAATGTAAATTGTATGTATTTTAAATGCTTTAATAGTACCTAGGTTTTTTGATAATACATTTTAAAAGAACAATAAAATGATTTAAAATAATTACATACTTGTCTTGTAAACTTGTAAATTAGTAGACAATAAATGATTTTAATATCAGAATTTATATTACTTGATAAATACTGTCACATTTTCTATTCTTAGAATAGATGTATTCAAATCAATGAGTAACATAATAATTAACTTTCTATCAATAAAGAACATTCTTTTCTTAAAATAAATCACTGTTGTTAACTTGTTGTTTTCATTATCAAGTTTTCTAAATTAAACATCTAATTATCTAAGTGTAAAACAACATTATCGATTAGGTCTGTACAATAAATATTTATTAATTAATACAGGTATAAAATTAACTTAAATTAAGTATTTAATCACAATCACAATTTAATTTAATTATAATTAATTACAAGTTCCAAATCAATCTATAGATAACCAACGCATTATTTAATATCAAGTTGAAATAGAGTAATAATTTAATTTAAATGTAAAAGTAAATTTAGTTTAATTTTATATTTTCTGAATTTTTCTTTAAGTGAAATAAAATATACATTTTTTTTATTAGTGTTTATAACATGTAACTGAATTATTACAAACATTAACGAAGAATATAATGATTTTAGTTACAAAATGTATTGATTATATTAAATATAAAATTATATTTGTCTAACATATAAATAAATATTAAACTTAAATACATTGATACATAGTGATGAAAGAAAAGGAAAATAATTTTTGTTCAGATACATAGAAACCCACACAATCGTGGTTGATATATTTTGCATATCAATTATTGTTTTATATATTTTTAAATGATTTCTAAAGTTAAATAGTTATTAATTGAATATTTAAAAAAAATTATCATAGATATTATTAATATAGTAGTAACGTTGTAATATACATCATTAAAAACTATAAAATGATCAATGTTAGTCAAATACAATTTTATACTTATTTTGTGGCTTAGATTTTTAGAGCTAGAACAAATGATATTTAATAAATTAACTCGTTATTCTGACATTTTTCAACTAAATTTTTTTTATAAAAACAGTAACAATATAAATTAAACTAATAATTGTAATGTTCATATGAACTTTGAAATGTATATAATAATAGAAAAAATAATTAATTTATATTAAAGGTTTCTTACAAAATGTAGATTTACATTTCAAGATTTACAAAATGATCAGATATTGGCAATAACATATACCACGTAAATTTAGATTAATAAATATTATACACAATAATATTATATTTTTAATAATAAAAATGAGCTCTAAAAATCAGGAACTTTAAAACAAGCCACAAAAATTACTAAATTAATAAAAAAACAAATTAAAAAAAAAAATAAACAAATGAAAATAGGAATTGTTAAAAATTATTTTGGTTCTACAAGATACTTTATCTGTAATTTTTAACCAAAAAACAGCTTTTGTTTTAATTATGCATCTCAACAGTCTTTTTTTTTATTATTATTATGTTTTTTTTTTTTTTTTTTTTGTAATAACCACTAAAAATAAATTTTAAGGCAATAAACAATTTAAAAATATTAGTTAAGAAGATAATATAAATTATAATGTTATAAAATAAATAAATACATAAACAAACAATTAAGTTACTGCATCAAGGGTCATCTAAAAAAATAAAAAATATATAAATGTATTATTAATAATTATATCATATTCCAATATATTTATTTTCATGATTTTGAATTATATAATTTCGATTTAACTTAATAAATTTCCTTAGGTATGTTAAGACTTATACTTTAATAATTTTGAACTTTAATTTTAATTAGTCACTATTTTCCATATCAAATTTATCAATAAATTAGTACAATTCGGTACAATTTTGATGATTTTTCATTCACTTTTTAATTTAGCTACAGATTATCATTAAAAATTACACAATACAATAATATAGCTTGATTTTATTTAATGACATGATAAATTACTTCATAATGTCCAATCTGTTATCCAATTGTATAATGGTCTTTAAATAAATAATAATAATTTATCATGTCATAAATTACAATTAATAATAATAGTCATGAGAAAAAAGTATTCTAAACTCCAGTAAAATATTACTTATTTCAAAATGACTATCAAGATATAAACAAAACTAATGATACACTCAATAATATAAGGCTATAATTAGAGTTCGGAATAATATTCTTTTAAATAGCCAAAATAAGATGCAAAAAATTGATAATATTCTTCTAATATTCTTTAAAAATCTGTAGTTAAATATACAAAAAATATGTTTTTACAGTAATATATTCTTCTAAATTAAAAATATACTTTTATATTAAAAAAAAATATAATCTAATTGATATATAAAGGTCATTAATTATGATACAATTCTATGTTTTCTAATATATATATTTATTATTTAGATAAACAATACCTAATAATTTAGCTTTAAAATTTTTTTAACAAAACATTTTATTAACTTATTCCAATTATAATTATTTCAATAATAATAGACTTATAACTTATTTAATATTATTTATAATGTTTTTCCCTACAACACAAAATATCCAAATTCCATAAAATTAATTGATATATATTCTCTAATATTCTTTTTTACATGAAATATTCTCAAATATGCAAAAGAAACTTTTGCCATTGAATCATATAATTCAAAATTTTTATAGATTTCAAATCGATATTTGACTGCATAAACTCAAAAAAAAAATATACAAAAGAATATTATTCCGACCTCTAGCTTTAACTAATTAGAAACTTTCTTACATTTTCAATCTTGAATGATTCTATAACAAGTCCTAACCTTTGTCAAAACATTTGGGATGCTTTAAAATTTTTTTTTTAAAACCTACAAATTAACTTTAAATGACATCATACTTTACACAACTTATACTTTGTTTAAGTTAATAACATAATCAGAAGCGATAAGTTTTCATCAGGCAAGGACATTAACATAATTAACTTGAACTCTTTAATAACGATTTAATACCCTCAAAAATATCCCTTATTGATTTAATATAATATTTGTTAAATTATATCAATTTGTCACTTGAAAAAATAAATAAAAATAAATATTACAAATGGTTTTGTTATTATGGTGTGATGTTACGTATGGTGAAGCAGCCATGGATGGGGTGGTTCCTATAAGTTATTTCAGGTTAATAGTTTTTTTTGAAGAGTTGCGTCTCTTACAGAATTTTAACTGTAACTGTGTCTATGGGTGGGGATCAAGCAATAGCTATTTGTCCTCTTCATCAAGTCAATTTAAACACCTATCATGTAATTTAGCTATGCCCCTATGCATTAATCAGCTGCTGACTATAATTCTTAACTTAAATAAAGTATATATTAATTTTATTTAACTAAAAAATAACTAATACATTTTTTTTTCTATTAAATCACACGTACTACACAAATACCACTATTTATTAATCATTATAATTACATTTCTTTACTCATTAATCATAATAATTGCATCCCAGTGTGATCATAAATTTAATTATCAATAATCTTAATTTTTGGATTAAAAACAATTAAATCCTTTAATGTTAAAAAAATAAAAATAAAATACTAGAAGTAAAACCTTAATATATATTTAAAAACCATACATTCTCACTTTACTAGTTTTAATGTTTAAGTAAATTAATTATTAATTAATTGTTTACTACTAAATTACAATATAATATTGTTGCATGATAGATTTGATATGATAAATAGATGATAATATTTACAATAACCATAAACTTTATATACAGCTTTAGTAAACATTATTTTACAATTAATTTAAACAAAAAATGATTACATTTACCATGTATTTCAGATATATACTAACCTGAATCATCCAATGGTGATTGATTATTTGTCGGATCTATTGCTTCTTTAATTTGATTACTAGCCCCTTTTGGATCTAAGTCAGTTGCTCTATTAAAGTTCATTAATGCCAAGTGTATGTTGCCTAGTTTTTTATGTACCTAAAAAAAAAAATGTTAATAAAAAACTAGTAGAAATTAATAGTTTTATACCATACTTTTCCAGTTAAAAAATAGACTAGAGATTCTTTTGGCACAATTTCTTTCAATTCTTCTAACTCATACAATGCTTCAGGTAATTTACCAAGTTTAGAGTAAATTTGTGCTCGTTGATATTTACACATTGGATGTTTAGGTTCTAATGTTAAAGCTATATGTAAAGTATGTAATGCTTGATCAGGTTTATCCATACTATTTTGTACCTATTAAAACATTACAACAAAATATAGAAATTTGAAGTACTAAATTTATAATATAAAATATAATGATGATTTAGAAGATTTTGATTTAGGTTAAAAGAATTTATTTTACTTACAACGGCAATATGACACATGATTAAAGCGCTACTATGATTTATTCTAAGAGCTCGTTTATAATGCATTTCAGCTAATTCATACCGTTCTTGTTTTTGATAAATAGCACCAATTCCATACCTAAAATAAATGTATAGATCATTATAATGTACTGTTAGACAATGTAAATAGATTTATGATACAAATAAGTTAAAATTAGTTTAAATCTTTTAAAAATTGCAATGAATATAATAAATAATAATATATGGAGTAACATAAAACTTAAAATTTCCTACAAATATTTCATAAATAACAACAAAAAAAAACTAAAATCATTATTTTTCAATTAAATATACAATTAGTAATCATTTGAACTTGAAATAGCTTTCAAAAAAAATTGTAAATAAAACTTATTTGTTGTTGCGAATAATTTAGAAAAATACTGAGCATTTTAAATTTAGGACCCTTTCCATAATACCAACTAAAACTAATTTTCTACTTAAAACAACTCTCAATGTTAAAAATTGATGAATTTTACTGATCCTAATGATAATAGACAACAATAAAATTATTATATAAAAAACAGATTTGGGATCATTCAGAAAATAACAACATATTTTACTTTAAAAAATTTAAAAATCTAAAAATTTATGGATAGAAGTAAAACTAATACATAATTATTGTTTTACCAAGATTTGTAATGTCTTGGATCTAATTTGACAGCTTTCTGGAAACAAGTAATAGCTTTTTCCAATTCTTCTGTGACTAAATATTCATTACCTAAAAGTGCATATGCGTATGGAAAATCTGGATTCACCTATAAATAAAATTAAAAAAATATAAGTATACTATTTTTTCAGTGTTAAAAAAAAAAAAAAGCCAATGTTATAAACTAATACTCACTTGTATTGCTCTTTGAAAATATTTTATTGCAGTATGGTGTTCTTTTTGTAAAGAAAAGCAATTGCCAACAACACACCACGTAGATGAAGAATTTCTATCTAAAGCAGTCATATCTTGTGCTAAAGCAGATAAAGCTACCTCTTTCTGTTGATGCCATAAAGATGTACTATAAAGTTCCATTAATGTATCCCTGTATGGTTCTTGTTCTTTAACTTCACTAAAATATCTATGGAAAATCACACAAATCAATGATAGTAACGTACAAACAATAATCCAATAAATACTTTATTGATTGTAAGTAATCAGACTGTTCACAATATGCTTTTCCGATCATTGATAATACAAAACCAGTTTTATATTGTCGTGGTGGTAAACTTTGAAATAATTGGATTGCTTTTTTACAATTAAATTTTGACAGTTGCAAGTATGCTATTCCAATATCTCTTAGTAATGATAAAAGTCCTTCTACAAAATTAAATATAAAATTGAAATATTTAATACTAATAACATAGTAAATAGTATTTATTACCTGTAGTTTTTTTTTGTAAATTAAGAGCTTGTTGAGCAAGTGTTTGTGTTTCTACTTCCATTACTCCACGCTCTTTTGGATGTCTTTCAGTTATATCAGCAAAAACTGATTTTTTGGGAATCAATCCACTTTTTATTTTACGCGTGGCCGATTTTGGGCTAGCAAACTTTTTATTCGGGCTCTTAGTATTTTCCTGTTAAAAATAATTTATTTATTAATTTCAAATATATACTTAATTAAAAATAAAATATACCTTAACCGAACAATTGTTGGTAATTATTCGACTACTACGTCTTACAACATGTGACATTGGACTTGAAGGCATAGTTATTTGTTGTGTGCCTAAATTGTTAATATTACTTGTATTTCCTGACTGACTAAAAACTGGTTTAGAACTCTATCAATAACATTAAAAATATATTTTAAAGAACACCAACGATTAAATAGATTTTAAAATAAATTAAAAATATTCTAAACTTACTCTTTTAGATATGAATTTATGATCATTAGTTTCATTTAATGTAGCTGAAGGAACTAAAACCATTGATTGAGATGAACAAACAGACAAATTATCTGAATTTTCTAGAGGGAATACTCCAAAACTATTTTCAAAATAGAAAATATTAATTTATTTTTTAAAATTAATACTTATGACTATTAATAATAAAACTATAACCAAATGCATAGTTAAATCTAAATCCACCATAATATAATTTTGAAGTATAAATATACTATCTTATTAATATCAATAATACTGATAAAATTAACTGACTAAGATATTAAGCTAGTGTACACTATACATAAATGATCCGTAATACGACAATAATTATAAAACTAGTGCCTTACTTAGCAACAAGGTCTATAACAAACAGTTGAAGATAGAGGAGTGTTTTATGGAATAGTATTAAAAGTCAAGAGTCAAAACAGAAATTAATATTTTTATAGATAAAAAAAGTCATTAATTGATTTAAATTCATATTTTAAGAAGTCTTAATAGTTTTCCTTCAACATAAGAACGTTAAATGAATACAGGAATGTTCATATAATATGATATTACCATCTATTATAACATTTATATAATGATATAAATAAAGTTCAACAACTTAAACTTATTGTACTTAGTATACTCTGTGGGAAAATAATTTACCTGAAATTACATCAGACATTTGGTTATGATTTTATTAAAAAAAGAAAAATAGGTGTGGTTAATTTACCTTGGTGTCAGTGGACTGTAAGCATTTTCATTAATCACTTTTACTTTTCTTCCCAATGGTCGAACAAATATAGCTTTAGCATTATTCATATCAGGTGTAAATGGCTGTATACCACTGGATATTGAACTATTACTACTAGGTACAGACATGTTAACCATTTTTTGAGCTGGTGTACTACTAAAATTTAATAATAAATTATCATCAATATAAGTGTAACATAATAGTATTTAAATATATTGACTGTTATAACTATTTCAAAATCATTAAGATGTTTAAGTATTTTTAAGGTTCAGTGAATTACTCTGATAGTCACAAAACTTATATAGTTTTATAAGAGGATAACAAATTTGAGACTGTAATAATATCTTCAGCAATTAAATTACAACATAGAAAGCAATACATAGAACATAATATAATACCAGTATAAGTATGAAGATTTAAACCGACAAGTTCAGTTAAAATATAACAATTATATTTTGAAAGTTATTACCATATTAACATTGTTACTATCTATGCCACATAAAATAGTAAAATAATTATACAATATAATTTAATGAATTATAACGAAAATTATTTTAATGTTAATATAAATTCGTTTAAAATGGATAAATAGATTAAAATTTCATACTTTAAGTAAAATTTTTGATACATGACATAAGAAAATAATTTAAATTATAAAAGCACTATTAGACTATTACCTAAACTTTATACATTTAATTCATAATATTTGAGCGAAATAAAATATTTCAGTGTTTGATAAATCTTATTTTTAAACCTAAACTAATGTTTAATGCATTTCATGAATGTTGCAATAAGAATCTCAATAATATGTTAAGCATTTTACTTAATGATGACATTCAAAGTGTTAAACTATTATAAACTTACCTATTAAATGTATTTATTGATTCATATGAAAGATTATATGTTGATAAAGGTGTTGAATTGACATGAGAATTTGAACCGAGGCATTTATTAAAATTCTCTAAGTTGTCCACCTAAAAAATAATAATATATAAATAAAAATACAATTTATAATATTTAAAATGTTTAATATTTTACCCTAAATATTTTAGTAGGTTCAGGATCAGGTTTAACACCTCTGTCACACAGGTCTTGGAATGATTGCCACAAAAAAGGATTTAAATACAGAGCCTTCCGACAAGCCTCAGCAGCTAAATGTGATCTTTCAGAACGCCACCAAATATGACTTATCAGTTGCAAAGCAAATGGAGCACTGTCACCATAATCAGAAATTATGGTTTCAATAAAAGATGAACATGATGAAGATGATATTAAATCACCTACGTTACCGGTTAACACAGTTTCTGCTTCAGACAACCTACAAGTTGATTAAACAAATTAATAAATAAGTACAAAACTACAATATTCATAAAAATAAAATAAATCTATAAATTATATACTAGTATATAGTTAAAAATTCCCTAAAAAGAAAGTTACTATTATAAATTATTATCTAAAATGTACAAAAATGTAACTATACTTGTGAAGATCAACACAACAACGAGCAAGTAAAAATTTGCATTTTTCTGAAACTATTTTTTTTCCACTCAAAATTGTATATGCTTGGGATGGTTTACCCGATCGATAATAACAGGTAGCCAATAAATAGATGCTTTCATCTGAATCAACTGAAAAATAATTTTTGAATACATTATTAAAATCAATAGAATATTAATTATTAAAAAGTAGTAACAACAGTAGTTTTTTGGTGATATAATATTTATTAACTAAAAGATTCTGATCAATGGAACATTATATTTATATAAAAATATTTAAAAACTTACATTCTGCACATAATCGTTCTGCAAGGAATATTGCATCTGAATAAGCATAATGGTTTAAACAATGCCAAATTGCAGCCTGTAAAATAATAAATTACATAAATAAATATATTATATAATATAATAATAAGATGTTTTTATACTATAAGTTAAGAACTGTGACTTTCCTTTTGTTGACAAAGAATATTGATGATTATGATATGAAACTGATTTAAATAAAATTATATCAATTATACATAAATATCCTTTAATATTTAGAACACATATAAATTCAATTAAATTTATAATAGTTTCATTCTTTTAAATAAATAATAAAAAATATAAGATAGCCTTCAGTTTTTTTGTATACTCTAATCAAATAAACAATTATATAGTTCATAGAATTAAATATTAAATTATTTATGTATACATTTGAGACTAATCAGATTATTTTTGTTTTTAAAACTTAGAAAAGAAAAATATTCAACTGTATAGGTAGGCAGCTATTTATTTAATTGCTGTTTCAAAAACTTGAAAAATAAATCCTTTGATGATATTATATTTTTGTTTTTATTATAAATATACTATACAATCACTTAGATGTTATTAAAATAATTTGAATGATAACTAATTATTTTTGAACAACCTATTTTTTGTACATTATACCTATAATAACTTAATGTATCTTAAGCATTACAAAAAAATGTGTTCACATTAGAGTAAAAAAATGTACCGGTTCTATTTATCTGATCATTTTTTATAAGAAATATGTTTATTCCACATTTTAAACTTCAAAACCATCAATAATCATTGTTGACATAGGTTTTGTTCGCGAAAACTAAATACTTACTTGAATAGGTTCTTGAATAATCATCGTAAACAATTAAATGTATTTATATGTAGGGTATATATATGCACTATAATAATGGTTATTAGTTTAACGTAATTAAAACACAACCACAATTCAATGAGAAATTAAAACTAAAATTAGGAAATTAATGTAAAATTTTTTTATTAACTTACGACTTTATCAAGTAGTGAAAAAATGAAAGAAGCAAAATTGATAAGAATGACAACTGTACCAACTTACTTTTATATCGTGTACATTGATTTTCATTTTTGTTTAATAACATTGAACTACTTACTTATTAATTAATAATAAACATTAATTTAACTAATTTAAGTACTTTAAATATTTATTTGAGATGCTTCACATCATTCTTACTACTCAATTAAAATTCTTTTTTTTAACTTTAACAATTTAAATTTAAAATAATGTAATAGTCTACTTAACTGTAAGGGATATTTTTATGATAACCTGTAACACAACATTTTCTTTATTCATATTTTAAACGTTCGATGACAACATTAATAACGATAACGGTATTTCCAAATTGTCAATAATGTCAATGGCAAATTAGTAATTACATTCCAAATTCCAATATTGACCATAAACGGCATTAAGTATTAACCAATTACTCAAAATAATTTTCAAAGGAATTTAAATTATTTGATTTGGTACCAGATACTCATGAATCATAATTTTTATTTTTTAATATTTAACAAAATGACAGGTGTATGTGTGTGTAGTCATTGATTTTATAATAGTATAAAACCAATAGTAAAGTGAATTAATAACAATAATAATATATATGTGATGTTTGTGGTATTAATTTATTAGTGCAAACTGCAACTATCATAAAGTACTGTAACAACTATCGATTTTTTATTACTTAATCAAAATTAAACTTATAGGTACTTATGACGAAGAGCTTTTAAAATTAATTGTATCTACTATTTAATCAACACAGTAGAGCAACTTTTTCTATTATTTAAAAAAATTATATTTTATTGCTGTTAAAGGAATACAGTATTTTAATTCTAAATTATAAAAAAAAATTTTTTTATTCATCAAATTAAATTTGAATGTTTTATACCATACATTTTATCTACTTACGTAAATAATGTAACTATAATGAAAAAATTACTAATTAACTAAAATCAAATAACTAAATCTATATAATATAGTGTATAATAATTTTTATGAACGTTTGAGTTTGAGAAGATACTTGAATTGCAAAATGTGGAAATTATTTATTTATACTAAACTCATACAAATTTTAGTATTCATATTTCATAGCTAAAATTTGAACAAGTTTCCATGTAAGTTTTGCTTACTAGAAGAATTATATATTAAGTAAAAAATTATAATTAAGAGATTTTAGTTTTTTTTAACACAATTCAAAAAATATATAACATATCAACTTGAAACATTTAACTGATATAAAATCATCATTTCCTTTATTACCATTGAAATCTTCAAAATATTTTTACTGATTTTAGCTAGTAATAACTAATAAAGATTTAGATTTTTTTTATAAGTGTTTATAAAAATTGTTAAAATATATATTTTAAAATCTTGAAATACAAGATCTTATACACAGAAGTTGTTATAACAATTAAATTTTTTTTTAATATGCATATTTTGCATGATTTTAAAAGATTTAAACAAAAAATAACGATTTTATTTTTTTTGTTATGATTCAATATATTATATTCGTGAAGTTTTTTGCTTATTTTTATTTTTTACCTCTTAATGCCTGCTATAATTGCAAAGCTATTATAAAATGAATTAATTTTATTTCATTGGAAGAAAACTCTAATCTAATTTTTTTAATTTATGATCAAACAGTAAAGTAATTCAAGTGAATGTGACCAACTTGTTTTGAATAACAATAGCCTTACCCTACCCTTCAGTTTGGTTTGGTCGTAAGTTATAACTTGTAGATTCAACAATGGCATATCCAGAGTTGTATGACACGTACCTAATGAGCCACAATCCCGTGAATCCAGAGAGTCTATCAAAGAATGTGTGGAAATCAAAAAATAGATTATTATTTTTAAAAAATTTAAAAAAATATTAAAAATACAACATGGTCTTAAATAAAAACTATATCTTCATAAAATAAATTTAATTTAATATTTAGAAAAATTAATGACCTACACTTTTACATTATTTTATGTGTAGTGTTTACTCGATGACTTTGCGGTTATAAATTATAATAGTAGAACGAATAAGATATAGGTACTCTACATTTAGAATGGTACCTATAAGCTGTGACCGATATAGAGATAAATTTTGTGGGTAGTGGATACATATCCCTTTTACCCTCTTTTTACATATTTGTCAGGCTAAGGGCCTGCTACATTATTTTGATCTAAGTTATAGTTTATGCCACTGGATTTAATATTCATTGTCAAAGGCCTTTGATAAATATTCCACGTTGATGGCAGATCGTGGATACGGCGATGGAATATATCAGTTTGATACCATTATTTGTATGATATTTATTTATTTATACCAAACTTAGTTCTTACATATAAGACCCATGCACATGAGTGCTATCAAATGAACTTACTAAGCCAGTTTAGGAGAGTGAACTTGGTGACACTCATTTAACAGAATTCAATTAAACCTATTCAACAATTTTATTGGATGTTTGTCAGACCAATTGCATAATTGTTTTTTTTTTTTTTTAAATTAATTCATTCTAATGCTTTATTTTCTATTTAAAAAGCTATACAAAATACACTAAATAGTAAATATACTAAAATTATTATTAATCCATCACATATTTTAAACTTAAAGATAGTACATGCATTTTCCTAAGTATATTTTATATGAAATAATACAAACATAATTTATTAAGCAAAAAATGATTTTCAATTACATTAATTAGTGCTTCAATCAGTTTTTTCAAAATCTACATTGACTATAAAATGATTAAGATACGCATCTCTCTCATTACATTTTTCTAAAAAACCTTTTTAAACTGTTTTTCATAAAATGTAGATTGTAGACAGAGTATTTATTTTTAATAAGCAAAATGTAAACGAAATACTAATATTATTATAGTCCTCATTCGATATAAATTATGTAGTTAATTATTAAAATGCAGTTGACAATAATGTATCTACCACAGTACCATTCAAGAACAATTTTAAGTTTTTGATAAATATTTTTAACCTATGATTATGGCAAACATTTTAATATTATAAACATATATTATGATAAATTTATTTGTTTTGGTCTGCTAATAATATTGGGATAATTTAAAATTACGTGTAATAGGTATATAAACAAAATAACCAATTATCCATTTTTTTTTAATTATTATTAATTAATTGATTGTATTTTTAGCAATATTACAACTTCAATATTATGAGAACAAAAATTTAAAAACTTGAAGAACTGTGTATGTATAAATATTATACATAACTAAAGTTAACTTAATTGACATAACTTGTAATGTACTGTGTACAACAATACTAAAATACAACATTATGAATTATGTTAATTAAAATTATAGTCTATATATTATAGTTATGAGGTGTAATTGTTATGTCACTTTGAATTAGTTCATTTTAAAAAGTCTAGTTCATAAACCCTTCTAGATATGATACTTAGATAAATTCTGAAATTAATTTTGATAATGCTAAAATAATATAATGTACATTTTATAAATAAAATACAACAGTTATTTCAAAATTATATTTTAAAATATTAATATATTATCTTAGTATTTTAATATTTAAATTGTTCAAATTAATTTTCATTAAATAAAACTTTTAACTATTTTTTATTTTTTGATATTACTTTTTACAGTCATTATAATTTAACAACAATTAAGTAATATAAACAAAAATTGTTAATACAATAGAATTTATTTAAAACAAAACAATAAATATTCTATTAGTATAAAATATAAACATTAATCAACATTATTCATCATTCAAAAAACATTCTAAGTTTTCATACTCAGATTTAGAATTATTAGTCTTCTTTTTATTCTTTTTTTCACTTTTGCTCTTGCTTTTTTTTTCTTTTACCTAGATTTTAGACAAAATAAATTTTGTATTTGTTAAATTGTTTTATATAATTTTTAATCTGAACCTATGTTACAGTACTAAAGAATGAACCATTATTATCAAAATTTACAGATGCTATTATAGTTTATTACTTTACAACCATAACATTTTTAATTGAAAATTATTTTTATATTACCTTTTTAATAGCAACATTACTTAATCCATCTACATGTGGTTTTATTTCTTCGTCTTCTCCACCTTCTGGTCTTGGTCTTGTGGTATTTTGAATAGAAGACCAATTATTATCATTTGCCTCAATGTTGTTCTTTTCAATCTTAAGTAAAAATAATTATACTCTTAAACTTTATTATTTAAAAAAGTTATAATTATACCTAACTAAAAAATTAATTTTAAGTTTGTATCACCTTAATTCTACCAATATCTGGTGTAAAATCATCAGGATCTACATCAGCTTGATAACCTGCTACCATAGGATTTCCACAGTCATCATCACTAAAAAAATTAAAAATTAAAAACAAAAACATTAAAAGTAACTACATTTTGATGATTTGACTAGTTGTGTCCCGTGATTAATATCAAAACTTAATATTGTATTATATGAATCATAATTATACAATTCTGAGATGATATTAAATTATTATATAAGATCAAAATTATGGAAAAATACACAGATTTATAATGCAGAGAAAACCAAACAATAGAATAGAAACTTTTTTCCATATATATGTAGATATACTGTATCCACTGATAATCCAATATGATTAGGGTTATGAATTTAATTCATTATAAAAGTTATTAAAATTTAATAAAAATTATCTACTTAAATAACTATAATATAGAAAATATTAATTATAATTTATTTATAATAGAAAGAGACAATGTTTTTGAAAAGTTTAAAATTTAAATGAGTATTTTCTGAGTTATATTCATGTATTATTCTGCTAAAAATAATAGACTTATCAAGTAATAGTTTTATAAAAAATATAAAATAGTTGTGATTGGATAAATAATTACAAAAAACTAAAATTTTGAAATATCTATAATAACATAGAGTCAAATATCTTGAAATTAGTGTTTAGAAAATAATAGTATAAAAAAATCAGTAAACAATTTTAAGCCTCAACAGTTATTTAAAAATAATCTTAGAACTAAAATAAAAATAATATAACATCTGTTCAAATAGTTTGGAGATGTTTAGTAACTTAATTATTTATTTAAAATATATGGTTATCAAACTATAAAATGGACCAATTATATTGCAGAGGATATCTATATCTGGATATCTGGTGAAGAACATAACATGTCATATAATTATGTTGTTAATCTGCGGCTCTTAACCCAATCGCCAAATATACCAAGCTCAGATTGGAATACTAGTCAGTCGAGGAAGCAAATTTCAATAAGATGTTAATGTTACCAAGGATTAATAAAACTTTTGGCTTAGTTATTTATTTTTCAATTAAATAAATTAAAATGTAAAAAGAAAAAGACTAAGATACCTTGAGGAACACTCGAAGTATTCATACAGGGATTAAACACTAAATTATAAAGTTTTATTTATTGAGTTTTTGAGGTAGCATATGAGTATACCAAAGATAATAGTGGATAACTAATGCCAAAAAGGCATTGAGCTCACTCAATTAAAGGCCTTCAACAACTACATCAAATACTTTTATAAAATCAGTAAAAATATAGGTGATTAAATCATTTATTTTACCTTTCATCAGAATTCAACTCTGTTTCTTTAGATGTTTTAACAACAATATCCCCATGACCTGCATCTTCTAAAAATGATTTATCTAATTCGTCATCAGGGACAAAATCATCTAAGTTGTTAATGTTTAAATTTGAAGGTGTTTTTATATGAGGCTCTTCTTTAGAAATGTTAACATCTTTCTCTATAAAATAATAAAATAATTTAATACTTATCTAAATATTTCCTATTTCATATTCAAATATTGAGTACACTAACTTAATTCTATTTGCACAACATTAGACTTATTTCCAGGAAACATTTTTTGTGCAATATCTTGTGTCTTGGAATCCATTATTTTTGAGTTTTCAACTGGAGATTTTATTTCTTTTATATTAGGTGATGGTTTATTTAATAAAGGTAAAGGTAAAGTTGGGGTCACTGATTTGTTCTCTGCATCAGCTCTACGTTGTTTAGATAATCTAGATAAAAAATCTAAAAATAAAATTATAAAATACTTAACTATTATATTTGCATAACTATATACCTAAGCTATATTATTTTAAATTTTTATCAAATTAAAACTATTAATAGCATATTCATCATAATTTGCTTCATTACTCTGTTGGTAAACATCTAATTCCATAGTCATAATTTTAGTTTCACTTCCATTTGTTTCTAAATGATTCATTATATTTTCACGCTGGAGTTGTAAAAATGAAATACCAATCCATTTATAAATTAGCCGTAGACCAAAACCATTTGACATTGAGACTTCAGCATACCGAATAGGTGTACTCCTAAAATATTAAAATTATAAAAAAAAACAGAATTTATTTAAAAAATATTTATTAATCATTAAAATACCTGTTTAGTGTTTTCAAATAATAAATTATTTCATCTCCATTGACACTGCGATGATGATTCATATCACAGTGGTTTCCTAATACTAATACTGGAATATTATCAGGAATTTTAGGTAATTCATTGTATACATAATCCAATGTCCTAAAAAGTTTAACCAAATAAAACTGAATATTAACGAAAAACAAGATTGTAAGTAAAACTGAAAATTTGAATGACTATTAAAATGTTTTAAAAATTAAGATATAAAATCTGTTACAAAAATTAATTTTACAATTTATGAGTAATAAGATAATAATTTCATTTTTCTTAAATTCATGCTTGAACATTTTTAATTTAACTTAAAATAATTTAAATATTAAATTATATTAAATTTGATCAAGATTTAAAACATTTTATTACTAATATTGTATAATTTTAATAATCAAAATCATTGTAAAAATACTCAGTGCATTGAATTAAAAATGAAATTAATTAAATAAAAAAATATATTTATATATTAGGAAATTATTTTAATACCATCTTTTAGTGATGTCTAACACTAGTAAGACACCATTTGTACATCGGTAAACATCAACTAGTTCGGCATCCAAAACAGGAGTATCTTCTACTGGTACAGGAGATAATTTAACTTTATCATGTTCAGTTTTTAAAACATCACAGGACTTAGAAGATGTCAACGGTCTTCTTTTTCCTTTATCAACTACATCCCACACCTCAACTTTTACAACATCTTCGGTGTTCTTATAACTCCATTGAATATGAGCAACCTTAAATAAAATACTTATGATAATATTTAACTTAGAAAAATATTATAGCATATATTTAAATGACTGTTAAATAATCTATGATTATAATTATACTTGGATTTCATCTGTTTCTTCATAATTTGCTAGAAATGGCTTTCCTTGTAGACGGTTCCATAGACAAGTTTTACCAACATTTCTATCTCCTTTGATAACTAATTTCACTGAAAATCAAAATATATTATCAAATAGAATAAAAATTGGAATGTGAAAAAAACTTTATATAAATACAAATACTAACAATTATATTGAATTCCTTTAGAAAAAGAACGTTGTAAATCTTGAGGCAATGCTTTTGGATGAGCAGCAGTATTAACAGTTGAATCTTTTTCTACAGTTTTGTTTGCCAAACGTTTCAATGTTGAAAACATACCTATTTTTATAACTTTTGAACAGTTTAAAGAAGAAAAAGTAATTTTATAAATAAAAAACAATTAATGTTTACTGGGAATAAGTTAATTTATGGTTATTATGAATAAACCATTTTAATATTTATGATTAATTAAATTACTTTTCAATTTTTGCACATTTCATTTATTTATGAAGTTGAGGAAGTTTTTCCAAAAACATGTATCTTATATTTTTTTATCAATGTTATGAAACATTTTAATCAACTACCAAATAAATTATAATGGTATTATCTTAAATTTTGAAAAGTAATTGAAATTTCCACTAAAACAACAAGTGACAACAAGTGTGTACTGTGTAGTGTACACTACTTACTGTATAGTCACTACTCACTACTTTCTAATTTAGTAGTATTTATTATCAACAGCAAGTGGATATTGCATTGGTGCATTTAAAAATTATCTATGCTTGGCAGAATATTGATTTATGATAAGAAACACGATGAGATTAAAAAGTAAAAACATGTGTTTTCTAGAATCACATAAAATCAACAAACAAAATAACCCAATAACTTAAAAAACAAAATTAATAAAAAACCAATTTTGTATATTTGCTAATGCTTACATTTCATATTATTATATTATGATTAGTCATTAGTTCTAATTTTCCAATTATAATCAATTTATATTAATAATTTAATTGATCAGATGATAGGTGCCCTGGTTTTGTACCTTTACTCGTATTTATATCACAGTAATTAAATAATGAGTAAATAAATTAAAACAACATACCTAATACCTCAAATTTAATGTCAACATCTAAATAAAAAAGTAAAAGATATAAAAAAAATAAATATCATGTAGGTATTAAAATTTAAATGCAACCTTATATACCTGCTTATACAATTTTAATTATAACTATTATTGATCAACATTTATAATTAGAACTAATGTCTAATAGAACAATACACAGATTTTGTTTTATTAACATGGATTTTCTGAGTGGATTTTTTTTTTTCGTTTATTGACTCTGAGATATCTATTCTCTGTCTGGCCTTTAATGTTTTTTAAGCACTATATTGTATTATCAATATTTACTGTATTGAGCCTACTATATTATACGATGTATACTATCATTTATCAATTAATATTAAGCATTAAAAAATTTAAAACAAATACTTAGACTCTAATCGTGACGGTGAATATATTGATCTTACACTATTTTTGTTTATACCCGATGTCACCGTCGCCTTAAGGAGTTCGAAGCAGTAAAAGTGCATTAATCTTTAACTTTGAGGTAATGTTTGGTTGGCGGTTGCAAATTGGATTATTCATTTAGTACTTTTAGAGGGTCAAAAGTTAAAAGTGCCCAGTACTTTTTGATACAATCAGAGAAGACGTTAATTTTTACAGTTTTTGACAAAATCGATTTTGTATTTTTTATTGTGATTCAAAAATGAATAAATGTAGATAGATACTTGAGACTTAAAACTTACAAACCTTGATATGTATATTGTCTAAAAATCAATTTATATACTTTGAAAATTTTATTTCCTTTAATAAAATGTATAATATACATATATGTAAAAGTTTAAATCTTCATTCCTTACGAATTATGTTTTTGAATTTCAAAAAAATAATTAAATTATTTTATAGTTCTTTATATTTTGGATATGTAATTTTGTCCAAATTTTAACTTTGAATGCTTATATGAAAATAAAAAATGATGCTTAATTATATTTTTTGATTTTAGTATGATTTAGTATTTACTAAGTATTATTATGAGCGACCTTGTATTAAATTTCCAAGTCTTAGTTATAAAAATTCAACATCTTTTAAATTGTGGACTTCAAAATAATTTAAGAATTATCATGAGTTTGATGTGTACATATATCTATTTTGTCAAAATTTGATCTTCAAATGTTTAAAAATAGTACATATATACCTATTTTTAATATTTTTAAATTTTGGTCATCTTGTAAATGTATAATAATATTTACTTACCAAAAATATGACATACCTGTTATACTCTTATATTCATGCTATATTTTTAATTTTATTGAAATTTCTACTCATATATATAGGTACTTTATTTCCGATTTATGAATGCATAACAGAAAATCATACGGCTTAAATACTTAATTTAATTTTTTAACTGCTTCATGTTTAATATATATAGGTATCATATTTAAAAGTAAGTTTCTTTATTCTAGTGAAAATTGAAGATTTTTTTATAACTCATACCTATTAAAACAAGATGTGAACATTTTAAAACTCATAAACAATTTAAAATGATTAAATTAATTATCATACAATACTGTCATATTTAAAACAGTGATTCAATAGCTTTGTAAACACGAAACATTGCATAACCCTAGCGACTTCTTTAATAAAAAAGTTTTGTTCGGTCCAAAAAGGTCACTTGAAAAAACTCACTCGTTATGCTTACAACCAGGTTTTTACTTACAATTTTATCAAATTACTCTTGCCATATTACATACCTATTTTTTAATTTATAAAATATTTTTTCTTATTTTTACAATCAAACATTTTTTATTTACTAACAACATATTTACAAATATACTGTTAACTTACAATTAAACAAAAAAAAAAAAATAAATAAATATTTCAAGCTATTAGCATAGGCGTAACTAGACCTCTAAAATGCGGGATGCTGAAACTGTTAATATATCACAGAACCATGGTATATTTCACTAAAACAATAAGAGTTAGGTATAAAAAATAAGAAGTGCTAAATTTGAATTAGGAGGTGCTAAAAACTCTTTTGCACCCCCCTAGTTGCGCCACTAGGCCTATAGTGGATACGTTTTTGTTCTCATTTTTGGTAATACATTGATTACCTACTCAAAAATAAAACCATTGAATAAATTTTACTAATTCTATAATTAAACTAAGATTATTTATGATTACTAATAATACTTATTATAGCTGATATTATTATTGTAATTGTACATACGATGATATTTAGTTTCTTTTTTATAACATACCAACTTACATTCACGTCCTCGCATGTGTCTATTAAGTACATTATTCAGCGACAGAACACGGGCCACGGCAATAAAGCGTATTTTCACAAGACATCCCGCTATAGTGGAACCTGTGGAACCTGCTCGCTGGTAATGTATGGATATGCAGAAAAATTGATTTTCATAAAGCCGCATCGTATTCTTTCATTGAATCGGATAAATAAATGTATATAAACCAGTGGTGTATTTAGGTTTTTGACATGGGAGGGGATATGACTTTATAAATGAAGATACCAATAAGAATATTGTACAATATATTATAATATTTGAATTCTTGCAAATTTAATCAATTATTGATAAAAAAAAATGAAAAAAAAAAATAATTTCTTAAATAATATGATGACTATAATTATTTGTGTGTATAGAGCCAATAGAGGGGATTTATCCTCTTTATCACCCCCACCCCGTAAATACGCATCTGGTATAAACTATAAATAAAATTACTTCAATTATTTATTATAGATAAGTAAAAGATAATAACCAATTTATCATTGTGACAATAGGTAATTTCTCATTCCCAATACACAATATTTTGAGGAAATATTTTAAAAATAGATAAAAATTTTTCATAACAGTTAAATGGCAACTACTGGACACTGAACAAAATCAGCCTGTTTTAAAAATCAGACAAGGGTCCGCTTTGACCTCCTCCCCAAATGACGCTCTTGATCACGGCCCTATGAGGATTCTCAGCTGGCTTCAAAATCTGGAATGGGGCAAATGACGTATACTTCTGCTACCCCCCTCTAAAGACTCTAAAGTTAGGTACTTATTTCATTATTATTCGATAATACTTAAATCTTTACTGGATTTAATTTTAAAATAATTTAAAACATTTAATTTCGTTGCTTATAATATTTTTACACTAACATCCATTGTCTACGAAAACTGAAAATACGTACGTAACACACTAACAAAGTGAGCACCTGATTATTGTGTAAAGTAAATGTAACTTTTGAATCATGGTACTTAAATTTTGTCTTATCGTCGATGATTAATGATTCTATTGCGTCGAAGCTTATTTATCTTAAATATACCAACCGAAAATCGATAATAACACGTTATACCCCATACTCGTAAATATATTTTTAAAAACAAAGGTTAGATAATAGATTACAGGCAATGGCATTACCAAATCAGACTACAAAAATAAATAATACGTATATAGTTTTATTTGTTCGTAACATTTAACATTTAACATTTTGAGTATTTTGACTTCGGAAAATTGTATACTACGTTATCATACAATTTATTTTTTGGATTAATTATACATTTTATTAATAATTTAGTGTTTTAAGTAAAATAATAATTAGCCATCACAGAATCAATGAACAAGTACAACAAACGACTGTAGATCGTGGTTTAAATTACTTTGTTATTCAATTTTTTTTTTTAATATTTGATTTTAAAATAGCATCAAATATTAGTTTAGATCTTGATTGAAATATTTTGTAACAGTTGTGACATGATATTTATAGTCTATATATTATACAAAGGTATTATTAGAAATGTAAAAACTAAAATAACCTTAAATTGGGAGTGAAAAGTCGATTAGATAAAACTATTTTTTATTATAATGACACTATATATACTTATACTTAACAATTGTTATATAGTTGTTATATTTTATGTCATCATAAAAATATTACATTCAAAAAACCCTAAATATGTTTTCATCCAATGATATCGAGTACAAACTCATTTTTTAAGTTTATACAAGACATCCCACATGACTTTCATTTCCAATTATTATAGTATTTCTTTTAGATGTTTTCTAATAACAGTGGATTGATTAATTTAAAATCCCTAAGAATAAGTAACACAATTACGATAATCGCTCTCTGAATTTCACAGGTATTTAAATTACTTTTATAAAAGTCTAATAACTTGTAAAAAAAAGAAAACTTTATTGTAAATTATAGTTAGAAAAATATCTGAAATGTTAAATGGTAGAATAAAATATATGCTTTATAGACATCATTTTTAATTATTAAATTAACTAAAATGTTATATATTATCTAGAAATATATTTCTCGAATTGACGGTTGAATCAATACCTACAATTTTTAAACAAACTATGCCTATTATTTTTTCATACCATTAATTCTCACTATCCATATTGTTCTTATTTCATACCAACAGTATTTAAAATTTCTTTCTCAAGAATAATTTAAATTAATTATGTTTAAGAATTCAAATTATTAATTAGTTTAAACTGTTTAAAGTTTTAATGCAGTTATAAATAGTAAAATATATTATACTAATTATTATGTTAAATTGATAATTTAATTAAAAAATATTATTTACCAATTAAGTAGTAAAAGTAGTTAAGTTTACACTACTAATAAGAAAACTAAAAACATACACCTTTTTTATATATAATATAAATCTTTATTGCCACAAATTTAATTTGAAAAAAATCTTATGCATATCTCTATTAATGCTAAAAATAAAATTACAACAATAATTGTGATAGTTTACCAACATATTATTATAGTTACCACAAGTCATTGTCTATAGATCTATAAACCTATGTAATATTAGCTTAAAATAAATTTATTTTAAGAGAGTAATCTTAATTTAAAGTTAACATGTTTACAATACAAATAAATTGTTGAATTTTAAATTCACACATACTTATGCTGTTAAAATATTACTTTTAAATAAACACTCTGAAAATGTAAACTACAATAAAAAATAGAATTTTTTTTTTTTAAAACAAGATGCAAGATCTTACATAGCACCTATACTTAAATAAAATGAAATAAATCATATCAGAGAACACATAGTATTATTTGGTAATGTTTATAGACTGAATTATTAAATTTTACATTTTTACTACATATTATAATTATGTAAGTCTTATATAATTATTTTATAAAATAAACTCTCAAATACTTTTCTTGGTTTTAATAATCCAGATTTATTTTTAAGCTAAATTTTATGAATATCATAACCAATAGTAAAGTTTCAAATTGTATTCAAATATGTTAGACATCTGTAGATAGCCGTCGCTTAGAAAATGTTGCTTGAATAAATCTCCTTGGTACATCAATATCTTCTTTAATGTTAACTGTCCTTTTACACACATACTTATTAGAACATTCTACAAATCCATTTGTTTCCATTAAACTTTTAAAATATTCAATTGAAAAAAAATATGATCTGTAAAAATTAAAAATATCTAAATAAATATTCTATAATATTATAAATATATATAATAACTATTCACCTTGTACCGTCTTGACGCATGTAAAAGTTTTCTGCTATCTTGTGTCCTGGCTTGAATCTCAGTTGTGCCATGTCATAAATTCCATAGTCTCGAAACAATAAAAGTCCTCCATATTTCAATACTTTATAAATATTTGATATAACTGTTTGATGATTGTCTGGATGAATAGCCGACAACACAAATATGGCAGTTACCATATCCAAACTATTTTTAGGTATTTTGGTGATCAATTCGTCCGTAACAATATCACATGTAAACGCATTAATAAATGATGGATCATAAGAAGGATTTGATTTCAAGCATTCAATAGCTCTTGGCGAAAAATCACATGCATAAAATTTAGCATTCAATCCATCAGCAAGAAGTGGATATATAAGATTTCCAACCCCACACCCAATTTCTAATATATGTTTTTGATGAACATCATCTCCAAGTAATTCAGAAAATTCTCTGGTAGTCCAGTGTCTATCTTTAAAGAAACGGTTTCCATTGTTCTTATAGAAAATATCCCAATGTTTTTTTGAATTTTTTTCAATTTCTTGTGCTCTGAATGATGAAACCATCCGTGAATTTTGTTTGTCAAGAATAGCCTGATCATATTCACTTAATCGAACTGGATCAGTTGTTTCTTCTTGATATTTACTATTATTATTGCTACAGTCATCCATCTAAAAATTCCATGCACAATATAATCACATAATATAATATTATATACTTAAAAGTACATACATATTTATTTATATATATATATATATATTAAATTTATAATGATAAATTGATAAATAATATATAATATATATTTATTTTATAATGAAAAACAACAAGATAAAACTTAACTTACTAAGGAAAAATAAAGCTATTAAGCAATTTTAATACATAAAAAAAAAGTAAAGTAATTCATAGTGCATTAATAAATGGCTTAATCAAATCATATTATACAATACAATTTGGATTTAATGTTTCTCATTTTATTTTTCTATTAATTTATCTGTAGAATATAACTGACATTACAAAAGTTGTATGGACATTTAAAACAGAAAAGTTACACTTTCAAAAAAAACCTAAAATATATTGAGATCAGGGGATTCTTTAAGAAAAAAAAATGATGTTGGTTTAAAATTTTAAAATCTTATATAATGAGAAAAAGTATAAATTGCATGGTTGCAAATAGTAACAATAGAACTTAAGTGTTTAATAATTAATTGATTTGTTTTCCAATTACAATTTTTATATACTTGCTTTATTAAAATGAATTAATTTTTACAAATATTTATTAATTTAAGCAACTGTTAATTTCTCATAGAATAGAAAGGGAATTTTTAAACAACATAAGAATCTGTAAGAATATTGTATTATAAAACTATATTTGATAACAGAGCAATAATAATTCTATTATAATCCATAGTCTTAAGGCTACATGGTATACATTCACCATTGTGGCACAAATTATTTTTAAAAGTTAATTGTAATTACGTCACCTTTACACCCATTATTTTAAGGTGAAATTCTAATACATTATAAATTTGTTTTAAACATGAAAATACATATTTTTTTTATTAGGATATACAAATATTTGAAAAATTATGAATTCTTTTTTAATTAAGACATTAATTATTTATTTATTTTGGTTGTCTATTAAATATAGTAAAAGTTAATAGAGAATATATGTTTTGCTTGAAAAAAAAAAAAAAAACATAATATAGGTAATTTTTAGATTAAATGTATACTGTTTTTGATAACATAAATGTAATTTTTACGTAGACCATTATTAAAATATTATTTAAGTTGTATCATAGTTTACAAAATATGAAAGAGTTATTCTTAATACATGGTCAACGACAGTATTATGAAATTTAAAATTGAATAAAGTATTTGTATAAACCATATTAACAAAATAGTTGTACGTACAATAAGGCAGAAAGTACTAGCCTAAAAAGCAAGTTGATTTTTAAAATTAAACTGTATATCTGTTTCTTTGTATCTATTTTCATAAATATTTTAACAGACACATAGCTTTTATAACAAATATTAACAAATTGTACGACACAACCAAGCTCATAAATTTCTAGAATAGTCTGGACTATAAGCATACATAAATCTAATGAAAATGGGTTTTAAGTTTGACGTATTACTATTAATCTATTATTATTATTATTATTATTATTATTGTATTTTCTTCTATGAATATCACAAATTAATTTTTTTGACCTTAAAAAAAAATATCTACAAAATTAATTCTTCAAGTATTAAAAAGATGTGATCAACATAAAAAAACCTACCAATATCTACTTAACTTTAACTAACATTTAAGTAAATTAGTGAAAACAAACGAAAAAATTGGATACATAATAATATTTATAATTATTAATTAATTTTAGAAAAATGATGGCTATAGCTCCATGTCTTGTGCTTCACTTTCACTAAACTCCGACATAGAGGATTCATCGCTGTCCGAACCAGCATTTCCATCATCTTTGAGTGCTTCTTCCGTAGCATATTTTTTTACATATTCTTCAACACGCTTTTTATATTGTTCAGGTTTATGCAAATACAAAGCTGCAGCATCACCATTTAATGGATCAATTGGATTTGGGTAGGCAAGCAACTGGGGCAGAAATGACTCAAAAATATTAAGCAGGTCATACAAAGCAGTCCAAGCTTGGTTGATTACATCAAGACAAACAGTACCAGATACTTCATCAATGTTTGGATGGTAAATTTTATTAATAAAGCCAATTGAAGGAGATTTAAATGGATAATGTTCGGGAAGATGCACTCGAACTTTCCATAAGCCACCTTCGTAAGGAGTACCACGTGGTCCATAGAGTTTAACACAAAACTCATTCAAGCCGTTTAAAAGAGTAACCTCATGTTTGCTTTCTATCAATTTTATGACATCTGTGTCCATACGGCGCTTGCCGGCACTAGGTGAAGACATAGCAGTTGGCAGAATTGTATACCAAGTTTACTGAAAAATATATTTATATTTTAGGTACACGGTGATACCTATCTATTTAGAATTTATAGAATTACAACAAGATTAAAATAAACATTTCCTTAATGTTTTAATTTAATCAGTTAATTAGTGTATGTATTCAAATAAAAACTAAAGTTAGAGTAAATTGAATAGGTGATTCCTTTGTATCAATTGAATATTTTATTTATTTGATTAACTAACTATAAGGACATTATTATATTATAAAGTTTTATTAATAAAAAGGTTTTTCATAGTAATCTTTCTATAACATTTTCTACAAAAGAAAATGATTCTAGCAGTAGTTTTTAAATTGTAAACAAAAAAAATAAACATAATTATTTATCGATTATATCTTTGGAATAAATAAACAAGTTTGAAAGAAAACAGAATATAAATATAAATTTTAGTTGAAATGTATATGGTATAAATGTATTTGTTAATTTTAATTTTTAAATGATATGTATAAATTAATTTCAGCTGTTTCAGTTATAGTTGATAATTATTAAGTGGTTCTATTTAATGATAGTCAATTGATTAAATTAAATTTAGATTATATTATCTGTGATAGATAATATATAAATAAATCTCAATCATTTTATACTACCTACAATATCTATCGCTGAAATCTTTATTAAATTTATATAATGTGCATTAAATGATAAAACCAAAATTATCTTATTAGTTTATAAGACTATTCTGATTGACAGTAAATAGTTTTTATATCAATTATAAATAGAACTAAAAATTTTATTCGTTAAAAATAATTAAATACACATATGCACTAAAATAATCTAAAATAGGTACTTATGCTGTAATTATATTTTATAAAACTGGAATAAACTTCAAAAAATGTAATGATATGCAGAAAAATCTTATGCATCATATGTCTATTGTGTTGACCATTATAATAAATAAATTCTATTTTTGTATAATTAATAAATCTTCAGTATGATTCAAAATATAGATTGCCATATATGTGCATGTTCTTTATTTTGAAATTAGATTTTTAATTTAATTGCTTTTTTTATTAATACAATTTGTATAAATTATTTAATATATTAAGACCTTTAAACATGGAAAATCATTTAAATTTGGTAAGATATTCAAAAATACAGAATATACAATTTTAGACTTGAGTAGTGTTATAAATTGAGTTTTGAGTTAAATTAGATTTTAAATATTCAGCTTCCTAAGAAATATGCAAATACAAAAAGTTTCAAGTAAGTTTAATTTTCATTGATATTATTTCATTATAGGTAAATGGGTAATTCAACAAAAGTTATTTTTATATTTAGTTTAAATATAAAGTTATTCAATAAAATAAATCCAAGTAATAATTTGTATTATTAAATAAAATCTTATATTATATTTTACTCTAAAGATAGAAAAATATGTTAATTAAAATATAAAAAATACAATTTTGGTAAATTTTATGAAGCCAACTTAATTGATACACATGTGGTGAAAAATAATGTATCCAACATTTAATAAATTTAACAATTTAATAAGAAAACTGGATACACCTAATTTATTACACTAAAATATGGATAAAAAAATACTAATTAACTATCAGATTTTATAATAAACCACCCGATCTCAATTGGGACATAAAATAATTAATTAAAATTAAACTTAAACAAACTCAAGGACTAACATAAATCGAATATTACTCAATAATTAGTAGGTAGGCAAGTTGTATATACATATACATAATACAATAATAATACGAATTATGGTTGCAGGGAACCGTTTTGGTCACTAATCATAAATCAATTGTTTTGAAAAAATCATGGTGAAGTCGTAAAAACTTTCACGTAAACAAATAGTAAATATTAAAAAAAAAAATTATCAAATTTGATGAATATAGATACAGAAACCTCGGAATCGTTACTAAAAATAATGAAAAGAGGGGTCCTGTACCCAATAATCCTTTGTCCGGACATGAATACTTCAGGCTCATTATACGATTATTGCGTCTTACTTACTAGTTACTGGAGCGAGACCAGACAAGTCCGTTCGGGTTGTATTTAGGCTGATTGGGATCCTTTGGGAATCGAGCGAATGACAGTTGTTCGACGGTCTACGAGAGCAGATTGCTAGAGAGCCACGACACGCGAACACAAACGGTTGACGGAAAAAGTGGTAGAGCCAAAATAATAATATCCTCTCCGACTTTTGATTATGACGAATTAATTCTGACAAGGTAGAAATAAGCCAATAATATCGAATGCAAAACAGCCATTAGAACATCTGTGAGCTCAATAATAATAATAATAATAATAATAATAAAAATGAAAGAAAAGAAAATGTCATGCGCACAACTCGTTATCTGATAGCGATCAGCTGACCCGTCTCTGACTGGAAGGTACGCGGTGAATTTGAAATATATAAATTCGTAAATTTGCTAAATATAATATTTAGCCGTTTAGTCAACGAATATATTTTCAATGATTACATTATTCATCACCTGACTAAACGAGTCAAATAATATTTTATATTTTTTTTGTTTCTTAATCGTTTATATTCATTCCAGAAATCTCAAAAAGATATTAAATAAAAATAAATAAATGTATGTGAGATTTATTAGCGCAATTGGATGTCTAATTCAATTTGTATACCTTTCAGCTGGTTAATTTCCAAAAGGTATAAATTAAGATAATTTTATTATACTTTAAATAATAATAATAATAATAATAGTATTATAATTTATAATTATATACAGAATTAAAAAACATACAAACACGTTGATTATTAATAATAAATTGCATTTTGCTACTTTGCATTGTATTATATAGATATATAGACAAGTATTTTAAACTATTGTTAATTACTAAAAAATGGAAGTTGGATTTTTTTCCTGTTTTTAAGAATGTTATCTTATATCAAATTTTTTCCAATAGTGAAAAAATTATGTTTAATTATTATGTCTCATATTTTATTTACTTTATTGCCTTAAATAGTAACATTTGTATATGTATATTGTAAACATACTAGTTCTTAAATCTTAAACAATAATGCAATTTATAATACATACAGATGAATACCTATTATAAACAAATTTGAGTCGTTTTTCCATAATATTACTTTGGACAACTTTCAATTTGACTACCAGTGGACAATAATGTACAGTACTTTATACATTAACCTAAAGATTATCTTCCTATATTGGTATTATCAAAAATTAAATTACGAAAAAAAATAGTAATTCAGTATAAAAAAATCAAAAATTTATTTAAAAAACTTTGTTATTATTATTTTCAAAATTTAAATTTTTTTCAGGTTTTTTCTATCAGTTTTTTGATAGCATAAATTCTTAGACATACACATGTTATCAACTGTTTTCATTAAAAACAAAATAGGTAACAGATAACTAAAAATAATAGCCATTAGACAAATATACTTATTGCATTTTAAGTAAAATTATATATATTTTTTTTTACTTATTATAATATAGATTTATTTAATCAAAACATTTTTTCATTAAGTAAATAACATATAAATTAATAATAATTATGATAGTAATAGATAATAGTGTATATGTGTACTAAGCAGAAATTTTAATAATTTGGAATTAGAATTTGATATTATTTTATTTATAGTAATCGAAATAAATATTAATTATATCAAAAAATAAAAAATATAAAAATATATACATAAAATGTCTGTATTAATAATTAAATAAATACACTCAAGTCTCTAGATGTATCGTCACTACTAGAACTTCCAGATGTCAAAGTTTCTTCTTTTACTTTAATAATTGTAGTATCTTCTTTACTTTTTTCCTTCAATTTATCTTGCTTATGCTTGTGTTCATGTTTGTGTTTATGTTTATGCTTATGTTTTTTTTTATCTTTTTTCTTTTTCTTGCTCTAAAAAAAAATAAATATATATTACTTATAAAAATATTTCATCATAATCAACATTTTAAAATTAACATACAGAATTACTGGTTCCATCTATTTTACTATGATGATGATGATGGTGGTGGTGATGATGATGATGGTGTTTACTCTCATTTTGTAGAACTACAGGTTTATTTGACTGATCTTCTGGTTTTACATTAAACATTCCAGGTTCAAAACCAACCGGTCCAGAGGAATTAGATACCAAGATTCCAGGGAGAGAAGCAGAATTTTCAGAGAAATAACCCGTTTTAGATTTGTTCTCATTCAGTTCAAATGATGGCCTGATGGTTGGAACTAAGTTGACTTCTTTAAGTTCATTAATAGCCTCTTCACTATCTTTTTTGATCTCAGTCTGAATCATAATTTTAATCAAAATATTAGAAAAAATAGTCATATAATAGTAACAAATTTTAATATTGTCAATTAAGCTTTACCTTTATTTTCTTATCAAAATGTAAATCAATTTCAAATTCATTGTCTACATTATCACTTTCAACTTTTAATTGATCAACAATTTCTGGGATATCTAATTGTTCTTCATGATCTATAGGTCGTTTGATACCACGTTCACCATTAGAATTATTATCTGGTTCGACAATAATATTTGGGAGAGTACAAGACTTTGCCTAATATACACAAAATATAATTTATGATAAACATAATTATTTTATTTATTAATAAAATAAAATTCAACCTCTACTTCAACTTTGATTGGCTTGTACAATGCAGCAACTTCAGCACGTAAAATTTTTTGCCGTCCAAATAAAGTATAATATAAGTCGACAAAATTACAACGCAATGTTGTATCATATGATAGCAATGAACTAAAACAGTAAATTACATTCAATTAATTTAAATATTTTATATTATAATTTAATTTTAGATTCTAAGTATATACATAAACATGTTGGTTTTACAAAGATTTTTATTTTTTGTTTGTATTCATTTTGGTATAAAATTGAATCAAGTTAATATTTTGGGGAGTTAATAGTAAGCTATTAATAGGGTATCTTTATATGCATTTGTATGTTTTTCTGAACAGGCCAAAAAATAGCTGTATAAATATGTTATTTATAGTTATATTTATTATTTATAGTCCATGGAATTTGACAAAAACATTATCTTACCTGAGACCTATCGAGACAAGTAGTCATCTTTTATTGAGTAGGTTTTAGTGATTCATACATTGGTCATATTTGTCATGATCTGAGAGCATGTAACTTTCATTCTATTTTATTTATTTATAATTAATGAAAATAAAGACTTTTATTTTTATTTTATAGGGTATATTTCTATAAAATAAAAGTATAAATTATAGTGCATATTTCTGAGGTTTTTAGAGCATATAAATCCGGGTCCTAGTTATAAAGAATATGATTCCAAATTAATAACTATAAATAACATTCTTTGGACATTAAATTATTTTTGAAATATTTTATCTTTTATTAAGCTATTTAAGAACAACTTATACTTCAATATTTTCATTTTTTTTTTTTAAATTTATAATCATAATTTTTCTTTTTAAAGATTGAATATTAAGTACAAGATTTATTGTAAGTTAGTCTTATAAGTTGTAATAATTTTTAAATATCAAAAATGTTTTGTGATAATTTTTCTTTATTAGCCTATGAAGTGGAAATGTTGTTTTATAACAACTTAATAATATATGAAAAAAAATATTTTCTAAAACTATTGATGATTTGAAATAAGTATGTTAAATATATTATCCAGTGTGTACTGTTTAACATAAAATTAATAATCATTAAATAACAATAGAGAATATATACAGTTATTATTGGACAAAAATTAATTCAACTTCTATTTGCTAAATAGAAAAATAAACTATGATTCTTGATAAAAATATTCTTAGAAATAGGCTGATACAATACGTGTACTCAAAATCAATTTTAATTTTAAATGATTTTTCATAGCATCAAATTTCATAAACTATTAAAATGGTCTACTCAATAATAAGGTAGATTTGGCACTCTGACACCTTTGGTTATTAATGTTAAAACTGGAATAGTTAAACAATAAATGTATCCATATATTTTTTTAACATACTTGATAAGTTTCCATAAGTGATGAGATAGATACTCATTGTTTAATCGATTATTTGGTTTTTTAGGTGTAAATGGTGGATTTTTACACAACATACGAACAAGCTCATTCCTAACTTTTGGATCTGGATCACTATCTGCTATGTCTATAAGATACTTTAAATCATCCCAACGCCCATCTAAACAAGTGAAATCAACTAAAGCTTCTAATGCACAAAGCCTTACTCCTAAAAAAATGAAAAGCATGTATATATATATTAAAATAAATAATTATTTATATTTATTTTAATATATTCAATTAAATTCAAACCAATAAAATTTCCATATGATGAATAAGAACGAAATATGTTAGGATTATTAGGTAAGTGACCAAATTTTTGTAACTTTCTGATAGCTTTCAAGCAGGTTATTGTTATTGGGTATTTATAGGTTTGCAAACGTTTTTCCAAATTTAAGTGCTGTGTAATTTCTTCAAGTATTAATTTTGAATCTCCAGAAAGCGAATCTGCAGTTATATCACAACTAAAAAAAAAAAAAAAAATTATAAAAAACATGTAAATAATTAAATTAAGAATATTTGAATAATTTTTAAGTGATTTAGGTATTTCATTATCAGTAAAATAATAAAACTTTGTTACTTACGCTTTTTGCATTAAAGATATAACTGGTGTAATTGTTTCACCAAGAGCTTCAATTAATGAAGCTCTATAGTAATTATCAGAATATCTATTTTTGCTATTATCATTATACTTAATTAGATCTAATATAAATTTCAAGATTTCAGGGGGACAAATTCCATGAGAATTTCTTAAACCAGCCATTGCAATTGGAATTGTCTAAAATGAACAGTAAACTATTAGATTTTTAAAAGATGATTTTTTATTTTATATTTAACTTAAGTACTTTCTGTAGATAGTAATGTTGTAGATTTGAGAAATTATTTTGTTTAATAATATGTGGACATGAAAATGATCCAAACATTTTTTTAAATGTTGCTAACATTGCTGGTGGTCCAGTCCAATTAGTCACCATTGCATTTGCAATCTATCATCAAAAAAATAGGTCAATAGCAATCAATTATAATAGATAATTATAAATTGGTTATTAGTT